TTTTAGTATTTTGTTGTTGTAAATACAAAATTACAACAATAAATAAATTTCACTTATATTTTATTTTATTTAAGGGTAATAAAACATTCTAAGTTTATGATAAAGATAAATATTTACATATTTTAATTTCAAAAAATTGAAAATATATAAAATAAATATAAATATAAGAGCAAATTAATAAAAATGCAGATAAACGATATGAAAGAATAAATAAAAACGATTAGGACTAAGAAAGCTAAAGGTCTAAAGAGAAATAATATATATGATTTCAGTTATAGATATTGAATAATCTCACTAAAGATGAGAAAATAAAGTAAAACTTTAGAATACATGATTTATTCACAATGTTATATTTTATTTCTGAAAGTATAAGATAAAATTCTGATTAACAAAGCATCAAATGGTCAAGTGAAAAATACAAAAGCTAAATATATATATATAAGAAAGTCTCAAAAAACATAGTTATTTTTAAATATGGATTATTGATATTGAAATGATTAAGCATGATTTTATATTTTCATACAATATAATTAAGAAAAGCATTAATTGATTTCAATTCAAATCAAATATTATTTTACTTCTATAAAAGGTTGGTGATTTGTCAATTATAAATATAAACTAATAGATTAATTAAAAAATTCTGTCAATAATTTTAATAAAATTAAAAAAAAAAAAATCGGGCGAGCCATATTCTAGCTTTTTCAATTGGTGTATTAAAATAAAAAAAACTTATATCCAGGGAAACCAAACAAACATTAATATATTTTTATTTAAAATATTAAATGGTTAGCCTATTTCTATGGGGTTTCCCTAATACATTAGCATAAAACATGTTTTAATCTTCTATATATTAATTGATGAGATATTCACATATAATTGTGAGGTGTCAAAAAAAAAAATTTAAGACACATCAATTAAATTAACCAATCAAACTACTTCAATTATTTCTATATGGAAATCTCTACATATCTACATGAATCTTTTAACAAGAACTCACAAATACATGTGTTACAAATTTTGTTTTTTAAT